CTGCTAGCCCAGGCACTGTGCTTGACATCTGACGTACAGGAGGGGACTCTTGGATGCCTAAGGAGAACCTAAGTGAGACCATGCTGCATACTGTCCTAGAAACAGCCACCCTCATGCTCCCCCATCAGCCTCAAGACCAGCCCCACTGCCACAGCTGGAGGCCTTCGAGTGGCCTGTTCTCAGATGGACTGATGCCCTGCTCCCCAGAGTATGGCCTGTGACTGTCTGCAGCATTAGCATTCCCTTGGAGCTGCTTGGAGATGCAGAATCCCAGACCCCTCCTCAGAGCTCCTGAACCAGAGGTGGCATTTTAACAAGATTCCTACTGATTCCTTGGCTCACTTCATTTGGATGTCCAATCAGTGATGGCAGGGCACTGCACCTGAGACCAAAGAGTGGATGTTATTCGTTCTGGACTCAAACTAGCAGGTGCACTATTCCCTCTGCTGAGCCACAGGGCTGAAAGACCAGTTTCACCAAACCACTCTTCCATGCCTTGGACACTTCTTGATAGGCAGACAGTTCATGACAGGGCACAGGCACCTAGAGCTCTATAATTCAATCCCATGTCTATGAACACACACACACACACACACACTACATACATATGTATACATACACACATAAAAGCTTTAAAAAATTCGTATGTTGTAGTAACTAGTTGTGTTGAGGAAAAAGTGGCTATAAAACATAGTTCATTGCAATCTCTCTTTCCCTCAAAAAACAAAAACAAACAAAACAAAAAAACCCTAGAGATTTACAAGAAGCAGGGAGGCCAGAATCGGCAAGAGGGTGAGATGCAGAAACACTGGACTTAACAGAAGCAGAATGAATAATGGAACCATGAGAGGTTTGGAGAGCAGGTGCAAGGGTGACTAAATAGTGAACCCCAACCCTGACTGCACAGCAGTCCTCTGGGACACTTCTCAAGTACATCAGAGCCAGACCTCCACACACAGACATGCCCCGATTCTGGAGATGAGACCCCAACGTCATTATTTCCTAGAACCCCAGGCGATCGGATGTGCAGACAAGTTTGAAAAACACTGATGGGAAGAAACCATGCCAACAACTAATTGAACTTCGCATGAGCCAGGAGGTTCTGATGTAGTCTATGCTGCCCCAGCAGGAGGAAGCAGTAGGCAGGAAGAAGTGAAAAGTGCATGGTCCCCTGCTGAATCCCCCTGCCTGGGACTCATCTTTGTGTTTGGGTTCTCAAACTTGCCAGCACAGTGGGATCACTACAGAGCTTTCCGAGCACCAAGGCCCCTCTTGTGCCCCTGCTGATGAGTTTAGCTGGGGTATGGGCTGGCCTTTGGAAACTTGACAGATCCCCCAAATGATTTTACATGTGCAGAGAGCCTGGAAACCACTAGATTAGGGCTTGGGGTGGGGCACCCGTCCCTGTCTTGCTTAGCAATGGAAATGCTAACTTGTATGATTCTGCTGTTTTCTAACTTGGGGTAACATCTAAAGTGATAATCTTCAAGTTGTATTGCAGTACTTTCTGAATTTTTTTTTAAATCCTCATCCCCTTTAATCCCTTAAATCCCAGCACTTGGGAGGCAGGCAGATTTCTGAGTTCGAGGCCAGCTTGGCCTACAGAGTCAGTTCCAGGATTGCCAGGGCTACACAGAGAAACCCTGTCTCGAAAAATCAAAAACAAACAAACAAACAAAAAAAACCCCACCTCATCCCCAGTTCACATGTCAGACCACACTCTAAACCTGTCGACCCTTCTATTGTGATGTACAAAATAGATTCCCATCCTATTTTGAGACAGAATCTCATCCAATATCCCAGGCTGGCCTCCAATTCATTATGTACATAGCCCAGGTGCCCTGAAATTCCAGTCAGATATCAGGCACAATTTTTTTAATTAATTTATTTTATTTTATGTATATGAGTACATTGTAGTGTTGTCTTCAGACACACCAGAAGAAAGCATGGGATCCCATTACAGATGGTTTTTAGCCACCATGTGGTTGCTGGGAATTGAACTCAGGACCTCTGGAAGTGCCGTCAATGCTCTTAACCACTGAGCTACCTCTTCGGGCCCTCAAACATACATTTTAAGCCAATGCAAATTTTATCTTTGTAACCTTGAGTATTCAGACAAGAAAACCAATTCCTAATGAGTGGCCAGGGCATAGTCTAAGAGCAGTCCTCAAAGAACAGAGGGAAAGAGGTGCATTTTAGAGTCATTACTGCACTAGATTCCACACAAGGCACTAATAAACGGGAACTATTGGAACTGCAATTTAGGCTGAGTCCTGCTTTTCTGAATTCTCCCTCTTAAGAGTCTGCTTCCCCTGACTTCACCAGCAATCTTCACCAGTCCCAGGGGCCAGGGGGTGATGAACTGCTCAGCTGTCCATTTCTGGACAACCCAATTCCAATACAATAGCTATAGTCCACGTCTATGCGCCTTCAGTGTGCATGCTTTGAAAGGAATTCAAGAGTTATTTACCAGGCAGGCACTTTGTCTGGATAGAAGGCGGTGGAACTTTTTTTTCCCCCCAGAAGATTCCATTTTTATACTGAACACACACATACAAAAAACTTACGAAAGTCTCCCATTAAAGGCTGCTTATTGTCTTTTGTCTTTTTTTCCATCAGGTATGAAGATGATAAAAAAGAATGGGCCGGGATGCTGAAGGAAATCCGTTATGCTTCGGGAGCTAGTTGCCTAGCAACACGCTTAAATCTGTTTAAACTGTCTAAACTATAAAGGAGGTGACAGACACAGTCTGAGAGGTGGCTTGTTGGGACAGGAGGGCTTTAATTTATTGTCATTCTTTAAGCCTATACAATGATTCATGTAGGGTTACAGGGATTCATGCAGTTTCTATGAGGTAAAACAGTGTAACTGAATCCTGCAGTTTTTCAGTGTGCCAAGTATAAAACCATTTGCTAGGAAGTTTAGTATTCAGTAGAACAATGTATTTTGTTAAATCTTTCTCAAAGCAGTGAGCTTTCTACATCTGAGCTGTTTACTAATCCTTTGTATTAAGGTACATTTACACTTGTTTTCTATTATGAATGAAATGCATACGTCTACATTCTTAAGAAATGTTTGAATAACGGAAATCTTTCCCCATTTTGAGCTATGACAGGAATCTAGTGCATTATAATGAAGATGACTGGAAATGCTGTTTAAGAAGTAAAATAAATGAGTCTCCAGTCCTTTCTCCCATTCTTCTTGTGACAGTTGCATATTAGTTATTAGTTATTTCTTTCTAAAACAAAGTGTATACAGTGCTTGCATGTACCACTGTGTGTGTGTAGCGGTCAGAAGGCAACATCTGGCGTCTGCTTTCATGTCCCACCTTATTGGAGACAGGGTCTCTTTGCGCTTCTCCACTGTTCAGGATAGCTTGCCTGCAAGCTTCTCGGTGGATTCCTGTCTGCCACCCACCTTCCTGTAGGAACACTCATGCGTTTTTTTGTTGTTGTTGTTGTTTTGGTTTTTTTGTGGGTTCTAGAGATTTCAACTTGAGTTCACAACCTCTGAGGCAAGCATGTGCCTCATCCATCTCTCTGGCCACAAATATAAAAGGCTTACATTTAAAACCCAATAAATCACAGTCTTCACAACATTAAGCACACTGCAGCTATAACAGGGAGTGATCTCTAAACTTCCAAGGCAGATGGTGACACAAAGGAGGGTAGATAGTCACTGGTTCAATTTTTAGCTTTAATTTCCTTAAAAGGGCCACTTATTTACTAAATTTCCAACAGCAAGAGAGGTGACTGAGCCAGGTATGGTGGCAAGGTCTGAAGCCACTGTTATTGAAGGGCTTCCCCAAGAAGACTGCTGGAACACACAAGTTAGAGCTCAGGTGGGGTAACACAGTAAGACGCCAAACGGAGGGATGTAAGGCTCTATACCCAGTTTTTCTCCATGTATAGACTCTTCAGTCTACCATGATCATCAGATTCTTACAAAGTCATGACCTAAGAATCACTTGGATCCTGCCAAACATCTGTATGGATTGATCGTCATGGGCCTCCTTGCTAGCTCTTCCTTCTGCTTCTTAATGCCAGAGGGCCTGAGGGGACAGTCCCACATCTCCCCTCCATTCTCACTCTTCTCCAATTGCCCCTTAAGAGACGCCATGCAGTCACATGATAGTAAATACCAATGACGAGTTCCACGTTGCTGACTGGAGCTGGGACCTCCCTGTGATCTGCAAACTCACTGAGTGGACTTCCTAGGTGCTGGAAAAGTGTTCCAACGTGTTTGAACAAATTCAGGATTGTCCCAACACCAGCCCACCTCCTATCTTGCTCTTCCCATAGACCCCCGTCTTGGTGAAAGGAAGGGATTTGTGTCACACCCTCTCATCCAAGATTCAGAGAACATCCCAGATGAGGGGACAGACTGTAAGAGCCAGACAGTGTCTTCTGGAGCAACAGCCACTTGCACTCATGAACTCTCAACAGCCACAGTTGCTCACACAAGATCAAGCCAGTCAACACTCAAGCATGGATAATGGGGCTCACAAGGCCCGCTCCTAGTTAAGAAGCCACAGCAGTAGCAGGGGGAGCAAGTGAGCTTTCTTCAGGCCCAGGCCATGCTACGGTAGACAGTCCTCCACCCACGTGTATGCAGCAACGCTACACAGACCCAGCATTTAGGAGGCAGTGACAGGAGGAATGCAACAGGTGGGGACCAGTCATGTCTACTTAGGATTTAAAAAATACAAAAATTAAAATTAAAATATATAAAATACAGGTATTCTTAGTATTCCTTGCTAAAACTCTACTATGGCTTCTTGTCTCATTGGGAGGAGCCATGAGGTCATATGCTGTTGACTTGTTACCTGTGACCTTTCACTCCACTTCCAACCACGTCCTACTTGGTTTGCTTTAACCACAATAGATCTCTTGATATTCCCAAACACATCAGGCTTTTCCAACTCAGAATATGCACCCTTAGCGTTTTTTAACTGAGTTAAGCATCTTAAGTAAATACCTATGTGGTGTGCCGTAGTCATTTTATTTTTTAAAAAGACTTATTTATTATGTATTCAGTGTTCTGCCTGCATGTATGCCTGCAGGCCAGAAGAGGGTCCCAGATCACATTACAGATGGTTGTGAGCCACCATGTGGGTACTGGGAATTGAACTCAGGACCTCTGCAAGAGCAGCCAATGTTCTTTTCCTCTGAGCCTCCTTTCCAGCCCACCACAGTCATTTTTAAATGAAAACTACAGTCATGATTTGCCTGCTCCAAATATATGTTCTCTCAGGTAGTCCATCCGTGTATCCGTTGACATTGCCATAGAGTTCCATTCAAAGTAAGGGACCTGCAAAGTAAGTAATTCATATGAATAAAGTTTTAAAGCAACTAAAGGTTGCTTCTAAAGGTGTTTTTAATTCTGTTTTCCCACCATCAGATGGAGCTCCCTACTGAGTTAGTGAGGGGATATATAAGATTTTCAAACATAGTTTCAGAGATTTATAAATGGAAACACAGCTGTAAAATAGAAATAATCTGATTAGTCTCTGAGGATCTGAGCTAAGCGTGTGTATAGGATTTGTTTCTTAGGAGTATTTATGGCTGTTGATTTTTTTTTTTAATGTGTGTGCTAAAACATTAAGAAAGGTGGGCACAGGGAGAAGGCACCGTCTAGATCTGGAAACATGACACCAAAGACATCACATCTGCTAGGTCCTAGATCTGTAGCTTCTCAGTCTCCAGAAATGTTATAAATAAAAACATGCTACTGATTAGCGTTCTGACTCACCACCCCCAAATAGGAAAGAAAACAGGCGTGGTTCACAGCTGTATTACCAGCACTCAGTTGGATTACCAGAAACTGAGCCAGGAGAAGTGCCAAAAGTTGAAGGCGAGACTGGGCTAAACCATAGTGAGCTCTAGACCAGCATGGCTACAGCATGCTGCCATGTCTCAACCCCACTACATCCCTCCCACTAAAAAAAAATGGGAGAGACAGATGAGACTAGAGAGATGACTTAGAGGTTAAAATCACTGCCGCTCTCCCAGCATACCTGGGTTTGATTCCCTACACCCACATGGCGGCTCATAGCTGTCTATAACTCCAGCTCCAGGGGATTCAGTGCTGTCTTCTGGCCTCTTAAGGCATCAGATAGGCATGTGGTATACAGACACACACACAGGCAAACATCCATATACATAAAATAGCATTTAAAGCAAAAAAAACAAACAAACAAACAACCAAGAAACCAGCCTCAATATTTCCTTAACCTCACAGCTAATTATAAGCAGTACTTGATCTGACCTCCCTGGACCCCGGCATGCATATGATGCACAGACCTATAAATAGGCAGAACACTCACTCATAAAAAATAAAAATAAAATAGATTAAAACTTTTAAAAGGGAAAGAAGAAAACCACAGCTTTCATCCCAGACCCTTGGCTGGCAGGGGGGTTTGAGCATTTCTACAGAGCTCTGATTTGTGGAAGCTGTGCATACTGTGTGCGCATGCCTGGGAAGGTAGGTGCTATGTAAACATGGAAAAAATGTGCTATGTCATTTCTTAGGCTGTCATGCTTTAATGCTTAAGAGGCTAGCCTCACAGTCGGTGAGTCGCTCCCCAAACAGTAATGGAATTACTTCTGCTAACTTCTTATGCCATCTTGTAACAAAAGCTGAAATGTTGCTGTTTCAACTCACTTAAGAAATATATATTGTATATTCTCTATATACCCTTGGTAGCAGATTTTGAAAAAAATCAAATAAGATGATAAAGTATTTAAATGGTATGATAATGCAGAAATAGCCTTTAAAGCATTTCTATATTGAATGTTTCTTTGAAATCAAGTGATTTTATACATAAAGTTCAATACTATATACGCAGGCTGGAAAGATAGCTCAGCGGTTAAGATAGCTCTTGCAGAGGATCTGAGTTAGGTCCACAGCACCCATGTCAGAAGGTTCACAACCACCTCTAACTCCAGCTCCTGAGGGACTCAAACTCCTCCACCCCCACTGGCCGGCTGTCACATGCACACACTCACACTCAGATACCCACACACATAAATGAATTTTAAAATAAATCTTTAAAATAGAGCAGCTACGCAAACCACAGGGCAGCTATGAGCTTTACCAGCGAGGCTGCAGAGAAGCACAGCCTCTCAGTTCTCAGAAGCCAAGTGGGGCGGTCCTCCTGCCACCGCCTAGAAAACGTGTTCTGCCGCACAGCTCCCGTCTCCTCCATTCCACAACGTCAGCAGACGGCATTTCCCACTACATATCTTATGTATGATGTTCTAGCCTTTTCCTTTTAAACCCTGTCCATAATGCCTAACATGCGAAAAATAAACACGCAAACCACTAAAATTATTTTACGTTTTTTTTTTTTTTTTAAGACAAGGTCTCATTGTGTACCCCTGGCTGGCCAGGAACACAATATATAGACAAATCTAGCCTCAAACTCAGAGATCCAACTGCCTCTGCCTCTCAAATATGAGCCACTATCAACAGCTCTTCATTGTTTGAGACGAGGTCTCACTAGGTAATCAATCCTGGCCTTGAACTCCCTACGTGACGCAGGCTAACCTCAAACTTGAGATCTTTCTGCCTCAGACTTACAAGTGCTGGGATTACAGGCCTGTGCACCATGCCCTTAAAAAACTGTGGGTGTGTGTTATACACATGGGAGCAGATGCATGTGCCCATGTGTGCAGGGCGACCATCACTCCCTGCCTATTCCCTTGAGACAAGGTATCTCACTGAGCCCAGGGCTAGGCTGGTGGAGCAAGTCCCAGCCATCCACCTATCTCTGCCCACACATCTGGGATTACAGATGCGCCAGGCCATACCCGCCCCAACACGCCTCTTTAGTGGCTGAATTATGTGACTGTTTCATACCTGAATAACACGATAGCCCAAGATTTCCAAATGCCGCTTTTTCATAGCAGATTTCCCTTTTAAGTGAGGAATGTTTGAACAAAAGGCTCTTACATCCAAAAATTCTATAGCAATCCTACAAAAAATAAAAAATAAAAAAATATTTACTTCCAAAATCAAAATGAGAATTTAAGTAAGCCTTTCAGGAAAAATATATATATATCTGTATAAACTAACAACAGATAAATGACTATAAATCAACACAATACCAAGGTTTTTATTTTGCTCGTTCTCCGAGACGCAGCGTCAAATAGCCCAGCGAAGTGGTTTGAAATATTATACTATACCCACCTCCAATACTATACCATTTCTCCAATTTGAAAACTTGGTCCCTGTTTGGTGGCTCTATTTGGAGAGGCTTGGAGAGGCGTGGTGTTGCAAAGGAAGTATGTCACTAAGGCTGGGCTTTGAGGTTTCAAATGCCACATGCTATTCCCAGTTTGCTCTGCGTCTTGCCTGTGGTTCAAGATGTGAGCTCTCAGCGGCTCCAGTCACCATGCCCGCCTGCTGCCACGCTCCCCTGCCTTGACAGTGATGGACTCTTACCCTCTGGAACAATAAGCCTTCCCTAAGTAGCCTTGCCTGTGGTGTCTTGTCACAGCAACAGAAAAGTGATTAACACAAGCTAGTCTTGAACTACTGATCATCTTGCTTCTAGCCCCCAAGTGCTGGGATGACCACACCCAGCTCCAAATTACTTCTTCTACTGAAGAAATTAGTAACTAACTGTCAAACCTTTTCATTTATAGAAGTTATAGTAAAACATCTAACTTTCATGGGTTTCTCTGCCCAACACACACTATGAAATAGCTTCTTCCAGAAAGAATTTACCTGGGGATCCATCCCATCTGCAGACAATGAACCCCAACACTGTTGCTGTTGCCAAGAGGAACCTGATGACAGGAACCTGGTGTGGCTGTTCTGGGAGGTTCTGCCACTTGACCAATGCAGATATGGAGGCTAGCAGCCAACCATCAGACTGAACTCAGGAACCCCAGTGGGGGAGCTGGGGGAAGGACTGGAGAAGCAGAGGGGATTGCAACCCCATAGGAAGAACAATGCCAGCTGGCCGGGCCACTCAGAGCTTCAGGGACTAGACCACCAACCAAGGAGTGTACAAGGAGCAATCCATGGCTTCTGATACACATGTAGCAGAGGATGGCCTTGTCTGACAGCAATGGGAGGGGAGCCCCTTGGTCCTATGGAGGTTTAATGCCCCAGCATAGGGGGATGCTGAGGTGGTGGGGCAGGAGAGGGTGGGTGGGTGGGGGAGCACCCTCATAGAGGCAAAAGGGAGGGGGGAGGGCAGATGGAATAGGGGTTGTGGAGGGGAAACTGGGAAGGGGGATATCATTTGAGATGTAAACGAATGGAATGATAAATTAAAAAAAATAAAAAAAGAATTTACCCATGAAGTCCAAGCAGCACAGCCATGATCTAACAGAGGGTGTGGGTAGACCGGCAATGCAGAAGTGGCTGAGCACTCTCACAGAAGAGAAGGGAGGGGATGGATACAAAGAAGAAAACCCTGTCCTCCTGGATAAGGGCAACCAGGCCATCACTTAGTTAACAGACTCTGGCCAGTGACAGCTAAAGGAAAGTTACAAAGGTAGGTGGCAAAAGTATAGAGGCAGATGGTGCGGGATGTCTGAATAGCAGGTGCTATCACCAACCCTCAATGAGGAGAGGCTACAGTGTATATAATATACACTGAATATAATACACCAAATATAATGGTTCAAAATTATCATAAAACTAAATTACCTCTCAGCTTCTGGCGGAAGCCTCAGCTCAGGCCTTGAATCCCAGTGTATTCCCAGGGATTTTCTGGGAGTTATGCTATGGCTTTCATAAGGCAGAGGCTTTTTTCGTTTATCCAAAATGCATTCAAAATCTTATTTAAAAAAGAAAGAAGAATCAACGATATAAATTAGATAAATTCTAACAGCCAAAAGTTTAATATTTACATGAATATGTATATACACACGTTTCAAAGAGCAAAAAGAACAATACAGCTCCCTGATTATCCAACTTATTTTGTATTATCCAATGGTACTTTTCTTTGAAAATCAATAAATACCAAGAAAGTATTAAACTACAGCACACAGCTGGCTACCCTTAGAATTGATCTAATCCAAATCCTATCAAAGAGTTTTTCTTTAAGCCAGGCATGGTGACACACACCTGTAGTCTCAGCAACCTAGGAGGCTAAGGGAGAAGGATGGTAAGTTAGGAGCAGCTGGGCTGCAGATAGCCAGACTGTCTCAACAACAAGAAGAAGTTTTACTTTAAGATCTTTTAAGTTTCTTGGTCATGTTCAGAGGATGCTAAGACAGCCCATCTGAAAACCAGTAAAAGCAAGAACAAGCCTTCCTAAAGGAACTGCATGTATAGGAAGTACGTTGACACAGAAATGTTTTTCTTAGACAAAATGGAACAATCGATGCGGAAGGAATGGTACATGTTGAAACATGCTGTGCTGGCATCCCTTGTGAAGCCTAGATTAGGCAAGGAGCTATAGGTAATAGCTACTAAAGCCAGCAGGGCAAACGTTCATGGGGGAACTCACAGATGAATCAGTCTGAAAAACATTATAAACCCTGAGGAGTGGTGACTTCTAGTATGGGGCAATAAGAAATAGCTATCTGTGAGACAGTGTGGCGAAGACAAATCAAAGCTAGAATTCATTAGGCATCTACCTCTAACTGCTGGTTTGCTAGGAAGGTAAATACAACATGAGAATGTTAATACCACAAGGTGCAGTCAGAAGAGTCTAGATGAGGAAAATATTTTTCAATAAATTTTAAGAGGGGGGAAAAAAAGAAAAATCGAACTGAAGGAAAAAAAAGGTAAAATAACCAAATACAATGTTTGGATCCCAACTTGAACAAATAAATCATAACATATATAAGAAACAACCATGAAGGCTATATAGTATGAAATTAAAATTCTTCTACCTTTTTGTTTTTGAGAATGGGGTCCTGCTACATTGCTTAGCTGGTCAAGAATCCCAGGGCTCAAGTCATCTTCCTGCCTCACTTGCAACTGGACTATAACCTATGCCACATCTCAGCGCTACTCTGTGTAGCGGTTTGAATGAGATGCTCCTCATATTCTCAGGCATCTGAGTACAGGATCCCAGGCGCAGTGTTGGAGGTTGAGGATGCCTTGCTGGAAGAAGTGTATCACTGAGGGCAGCTTTGGAGATTTCAAAGCCTCCTCCCAACCTCCATGGACTCTGCATCAGTTCCTGCCTCCATGTCCCTGCCTTGAGCTCCTGCCCTGCCTTTCTTGGATGATAGAATACAAACTATAAGATGAAATAAACCTTCTCCTCAAGTTGCTTTCAGTCATGGTGTTTATTACAGCAAGAGAGAGTCTACAGTGTGAGTTCTAGGATGGCCAGGGCTACACAGAGAAACCCTGTCTCCAAAAAAACAAAACAGCAACAACAACAACAAAACCAACTAGGAAAGATGGTCTTATCCAAAATTTACACAATGGAAGTTAATCACTAGTATGATGGTATTAAGAGAGAAGCCTTTAGGAGGTGATAGACTCCTATGGGTATACCTTATAAGACACAGCGACCCCTCCAAACAGGAAAACTCGGGGTATGGGAACAGCTGGAGAAGCAAAGTCCTATACTTCCCCCAAAGTCCTTCTGTGTGATTTGGTTTTCTTTCTTTGTTTGTTTTTGAGACAGGGTCTTGTTTTCTTACCCAGCCTCATATAAACCTCCTGAGCAGTTGGGATTACAGGCATGTGCCATGTGCCATGTCCAGGTAGGACAGAATCTTCTGAAGATTCAGAAATACCTGGTGAATCTGCATCTGGGCTTTACTTAACTCTGGTGAAGACTTTTTTTTTCCTGAATAACAGAAATATTTATGGTTATCAAAGCTGGGCCATAGGAATGAACCTGAGAATTTTTTTTCTTTGTTTGAAAATTTTCATGATTAAAAATTTGAAAAGAAATTATAAACCTGGGGCTTGAGAGATGGCTCAGTGATGAAGAACACTTTGGGTCACTGCAGAGGACCTGGGTTGGGTCTCGAGCACCCAGCGTGGCTCATCACCATCAGTAACTCCTGTGCCACAGGATATGGCTCCCTCTTCTGGCCTATGTGAGTATTACGGCTATAACTAGTGCACTTCCATGCAGGTAAAATGCTTATTATACATGTAAATCTATACAAGCAAATGTAAGCCTTTCTAAAGTTCCTCCTAACTAAGGATCCATTAAAGTGAGTTTGGTAGAAAAGGACCCGATGTCTGCAGGTGACTCACCCACTGTGTGGTAATACGGTGAGAGAGCCGAAGGCCTCACACATCGCTGTCCTCCCAGGATCTCTGCTAACATCTTATAGATCTGCTGTTGCACTCTGTTCATAACACCAGTATCTTAGGAAAATTGAAAAAAAAATTAAATGGCATCCTAATGTGACAAAGTGAGAAACGGACATCTTTACACAGAGCCCCAGGGCGGGGGGCAAGTGGCTCAGCAGGCTCATACAAGTGCTCGCCTCCCACTCCTGAGGACTCAAGTTTGATCCTCAGAGCCTGGATAAAGGTGAAGGAAAGAACCAACCCTAGAAGGTTGCCCTCTGGCCCTGCACACATGCCCGTGTGAGCAACCACAGGCACACACAAGAAGTATAAAAACACAGTGCAATCCACGTGGAGGAACACTAAATTCAACAGGAGACAAGTGCTTACTCAAGTGCTCCAGCGTCCCAGCTAAATTCCTGTAAAACGAATTCCACTTACAAAAGTATTTAACAAGCCAGACACTCTAGACATATTTAGACTTTATGGTGATAATAATATTACCTAAGAATCCGTTCTGGAATTAACTATACTCTCTTATCAAAAGAAAACGCGAACCTCTGTTAAACTGTCGCTGGCAAAAGCGGTCATGAAACCAGGGAACCTGCAGCTCGGGGCACTCCAAGCAGACTGCTCGATTTAACTCCATAAGGCGGAACTGGATTTTTGCACTCAGACTCGAAGGCAAAACTGAAATTAAGAAGACATTACTAATGGATCCCAGGCCCAGAAGAAACAAGTGACTTCTTTATATCATGACCCCCACTCTTGGTTGACACTTTCTTATATGAGAAAATCACTCCACTAGTACACGAATGCTTCACGTTTTTAAGTTGATATGTTTGGTAACATGATTAAGACCAATTTCTACACTTTGTAAGCTTTAAAGCTACATTTTAAAAACTGCTACCACGAATTTTCATTGACTTCCTTTATGATATTCCATATTTTGGAATTTATCCTAAGGAAACAATTCATGGTTCTTGTGTAGCATTCATTATTTGTAGTGAATGAGAACCTATAAAACAAGAAACAAGGGTCCCAGGATATAACTAAAGTGACATGCCTGTAGCACGCATAGGTCCTGGGTTCAATCCACAGCACTGCCTTTTTAAAAAAGAGGGTCCTAGTTTCAGATAATAAAGTTCTTCTATAGCAATATAATGGTATGATATGAATCTAGTAAAAATATGGCATCAAGAGCCGGGTGGTGGCGCTGCACGCCTTTAATCCCAGCACTTGGGAGGCAAAGGCAGGTGGATTTCTGAGTTCGAGAGTTCGAGGCTAGCTTGGTCTACAGAGTGAGTTCCAGGACAGCCAGGGCTACACAGAGAAACCCTGTCTCAAAAAAACAAAACAAAACAAAAAATATGACATCAAAAATAGTTTATGACAAGGAAAGTTGTTCATAATATAGTTTAATGAAATCAGCAACATTTAAAAGCAATTTAAAGGCTGGAGAGGTGATTCAGTGGTTAAGAGCTCTGACTGCTCTTCCTGAGGTCCTGAGTTCAATTCCTTGCAACCACATGGTGGCTCACAACCCATCTATCACAGGATCTAATGCCCTCCTCTGGTGTGTCTGAAGACAGCTAAAGTATAGTCATATATACATAAAATAAATAATTCTTTAAAAAATAATAAAAAGGAATTTAAGATCTCCATCCATGTAAAAACACTTTGATACATGAGTATTTATATGAGACCAAAGGAAATACTCCAAGTGTGTGGGGTTAGCTCGGGGCAGTCTGCTCAGCATGCAGAACACCCTGGGCTCAATCCTCTCCACACAAAATGAAAAGAAGGAAAGGCAGGCACCAGCCCAATGGTAGCAGTTTTACTTGAAGGTAGAATTAGGGATATTATCGAACTTTGATGCTGTTTAATGTGTTGTCTAAAGTTTCTATAATATTCATAATTTTTTTAAGAACAGGATCTCAATACAAGGCCCTGGCTGGCCTGGTTAGTTTAAACTCTTAGCCATCCTCTTGCCTCAGCCTCCCAAATGCTAAAATCATAGTGTTATGCATGTGTGTGTGTGTATGTGTGTGTGTGTATGTGTGCTATGTACCTATTATATATTTTAAATATTTATAACTATAGCCACATTTATCTTATACACATACATTCCTACCCTCCAAGTCCTGGAGATGAAACTCAAGAGTTTAACAAATGTTAAGCAAGCATTCTATTATTAATCTATCCCCTAGTCAATCAAAAAATGCTTTTATTAACAAGAAATAATGTCATTAACCTTTAAATGCTTCATTATGGGCACAACTGACACTTGCATATAAAATGCATGTAATAAATTCTAAAAATGAAATATAGATACATACTTTCAAGTTGGGAATCTAATCTGGCTAGGAACTCGATGTTAAACAGTTTCTTTAGCAGATCTTCTGGAAAATATTCAAGTGTGGCCAAAGAAAAACCAAGAAACACTAATGTATCAGGATCCAATGTACCTAAAAAGTAAGTTTAAAATTGTAACATACAGATGTTTCACATATACATATAAACAGGTAAGCTGTTTAAATATAGTCAAGTTTTTTTTAAATGATATAAAAGAAAACAAATCATATCAACACAAAATTAATCTATACCATTACAAGTCAACAGTAATTTAGAGGCAGAGAAAGAAACATAGACAAAAGAAAGTACTGCTGACCCAGAATGGTGGCATACATTTTTGATCCCAGCACGTGGGAGGCAGAGGCAGGTAGATCTCGGTGAGTTCTCTGCCAACCATTGTGATCTACCGAACAATTTCTAGAACAGCCAGGGCTACACGGAGAAACCCTGTCTCAAGAATCCAGAGAGAGAGAGAGAGAGAGAGAGAGAGAGAGAGAGAGAGAGAGAGAG